AGACAATGTGTTCACTCCGCTTGTCTGTCAATGACAGACACACACACACACACACACACACACACACACACACACACACACACACACACACACACACACACACACACACACACACACACACACACCTTGAACCCCCCTTTACTACACCGCACTGGGGTGGATTTTTATCAGCGGTTCCTCTTGTAAAGCCGTTATCTCCTCTGGTGGAGGTTGTAAAACAAGGGTCATAAAATACAGAGAGAGGATGTTTTTGAAGATGGACATGATCTAAATAAAGCATCATGACGTCTCTCTGACACGTCTCAAGCAAAAGTGAATATTACAGGCTTCTGTATTGAATTGTATTATTAAGTAAGAAGTTAAACTGGAAACTCACAATATGTTTTAATAGGGAATGAATAATGGAAACAAAAGAGGGGAAGACACACAGCAAAGGGCCATAGGTCAGAGTCAAACCCACGGCCGCTGCAACGAGGACTCAGTCTTAGTACAAGGGGCACCAGCTCTACCACATGAGCTATCTGGGCTCCACATTAATTGTTATTAACATAAAATTCTGTATGAAAAATTACCTGACGATTAATTATTTTTCTGTCGATTGACTAATCGATGAGTAAACGAACTGTTGCAGCTCTGTCACTTTTGTATTGATGGATCGATGGTTGGATAAAATAATTTCTAGACAAAACAATTGATTGAGAAATGAATTGTTAGTTGCTGCCTTGTGTCCGCTCTGTAGTGTCACTAACCGCCTGCAGGGGTCGGTCTTGCTCTGAGCCATGACAGCAGGAGCATAATCTCAGGTCCTCCTTTGGCACTGACCTGAAGAGACAAATATCAGCCAAATCTTACAAACATATTTTTTTATATTCTCCACTAACATGTGTATGTTTTAATAAATTCAGATGGTTTTCATTAAACTAGTAAAAAATGGGGTTGTGTATATTGGTATCGTTCTTAAACGCTGAATTACAGATGCTATTTATTATATTTAGGGTAACTGCTTGAACCCAATCAAGGCAACATGAGTGACAAAAATCAATCTACTTAATTGCTGTAACATTGCTGAGGTAGTGCTGCTCTTTGATGAGAGCTCCACTCTGCACCATGCTGAACCTGGTACTGAGGCTTCAGCTCAACGTAGGTCTTTGAGTAATTCCTATTGTGCTTCGTTCACATAACCACAGCTTTCCCTGTGATTGGACTGATCTGATCTTAGAGGGCTTAAAGGGGCTGGTTGAAAACATCAGATTCCTCCACATTAGCAGCGAGGCACAGTCTGGTGAGTATCACCTTTTTACAGCTTTTGTTGATATATTTTACTTAATCAAATGTTAAGTTAAATGTTAAGACATTACACACTTTACTGTTTCAGATTTTGTATTTTACTTTTGTTAATATGTGGAATTTGTGCACTTTGTTAATCCAGTCAAGTTGTGTCAAGTGTCAAGCGGTCACATGAAACCGTGCATTCCTGTTTTCTGAACAATAATTATGAAGTCTCTAGAAAATCTTTGTGTTTGGTGTTCTTAAGAAGACAAACATGTTGATAATTTAGTACCACGATTAGATAAAGAAATTAACAAAGCATGCACAATTGCAAAGATGTGGATATAAAGTGAGCTGACTAATGAGGTAAAAACATCTTAATCCCATGAAGCAGGAGCATATCTGAAAGGTAATCTTTGTACATGTTCTCTTTGTAGGTGGCCTGTGGAACGAGTTTAAGGTCATGGTGAATGTGACTACGGTCATTAAGGCGGTGAGTCTGCTTGTTGCAGAACTCATCAGCTCCATCACGGACTGGTTCCAGACCAAACCAGCATGGGCCAACCTAGAAGTGCTGGAGGACACAGAACTGAAGACCACTGGAGGCGGTGAGTCAGATACAAGAAGAATCTATAAACCTGTAGACACTCTGCACTTTCTAGAAGGAAATTCATTGTCTTTATAATTAAAATGAATTAACAGTTTGGACAGAGGTCAAATTTTTGACTTTTGGTGTCTGAGATTACGTATGACAGCCCACAGATTAATCCACAAACTCTTATTATTACAGATATTTAATGGACTCCTTAATCTGAACATAATGATTTACTCTTTATGCAGAACAGTGAGCGACATTTTGGTTAAATAACACTCGTCTGTCTCTTTCAGTCCATGAGCAACACAAGGCCAAATCTCTATGGGAGAAGACTGGAGCTGTGGTCATGGTTGTACGGCGCCCTGGATGATTATTGTGCAGAGAGGTATGAAATGACAGGGACAGTGCATATCAATAAACATTGCTGTAAATAGTCCAGAATTATCCAGAAGGCTAGTTTCTGTCTATAGTCCTCCAAGTTAGTACTGAGATCTGTGCAGTCATGTGACTAGTTAACTTTCTATTTGATTCTCTCTGTCCTTCCCTCTCCAGGAGGCTGCCGAGCTGTCCTCTCTGAAGTCCCAGCTACAGGACCTTGAGGTCCCTCTGTTCGCCGTGGTAAAAGAAAACCTGGGAAAAGAGCTGGACGGCTTCAAGAAGTACTTCTCTGGGAAGGTCTACGTGGATCAGAAGGTCCACTTTTGCAAAACCCTCTCCTACACATGGCTTTAAAATATTAAGTGAAACATGGAAAGGTTACATCATTTAAGACAATAAGCTGATTTTACATTGTTCTCATAGAGAAAGTTCTACGGCCCCCGAGAGAGGTGGATGTGTTTCTCCATGTTCCTGCGTATTGGCGTGTGGAGGAACCTCTGGCGGGCCTACCGCAGGGGCTTCAGTGGAAACCTAGGAGGTGAAGGACTTATCCTGGGTGGAGTCTTCGTCATTGGGCCCGGAGATCAGGTAGGCAGTAACTTACACAATGAATATTTACTAAGTGTATATCTGGATGGGTTATGATTGTGTTTTTTCCCACAGGGTATTCTACTGGAGCACCGCGAGAAGGAGTTTGGAGATAAAGTGAATACTCTGGCAGTGCTCAGAACAGCACGCAATATGCAAGACGCCGTAGCGAAATAGACCTCAAAATGTGAATGAATGGACCTATCAATGGGTGCAGCATGTTTTCACGTGCATGTCTGTATTCTTTAAGCCTAACCCTCTCTACACCACTCTAACAAGCTGTAATGTACTCATATTACATTTGTTCTACTTTATAAATCTAATGCATTCACCCTTTGCTATTATGGTGTGCAGTGACACAACTTTGTGGTTTAAAATGTGCCACTTTAACTGTCTATTAACCTGCATTGTCTGCATTTCCTGCTCTTGGTTATGTGATGGTCTTTTTGTGTGTTTTAATGAAGATCTGTCTCTAAACTCTGCTGAGGGAGCAGCTCTGATGCTCGCACACAATCTCAACACTTTTAACCAGGTGGTCTTGTTGGTCTGACATGAGGGGGTATATTTGACTGTTGGAGTGATGGAGCACATTTTGTGTTTTGGCATCTAATAAACCAATAAACCCAGTCGTGGTTAAAGAAAGATTATCTGCTTGTTTACCTGTCCATGTGTCTTGTTTTTCCTTCACAAACAACCTTTTCAAACTTCCAATCTCCTTCGCCCGCCATCTTTTTCGATTAGTTGTCCCTGCTCCCTGGATCGTTTAGTACGCCTGCGCCGATCTGTTTACAAAACCCCTTCTTCATCAGAGAGACGCTGCTTGTCGCTTCATTGATTCTGGTGAGTGTGCATTTATTACAAAACTACCCCATTAACTTCAAATCACAGATACAGCTTCTATACAGGTGCTGCTTGTTCAACCAGGCCCACTAGCCCCAGGCCCAGACTCAGCTAACGTTAACTGCTAATCTATCGACCGTTTGTGTCCACCGTTACGTGCCTAGCAACAGTAACTTTGTTAACTTAAAATAAGCATTATGTAACGTTAATCGTCACATTAAATAACACCACACAATACAAATGGTAAAATATCCAAGTCCCACTCGTTTACAATGTTGTTTTTAAGCTTGTAGAGCCATCAGCTAATGCCATCGATTACACATTGACAATAACAAGGTCATCATCTGCTCATTGAGAGGGCGGTCACTGTAACATGTTAGGCTGAAGTGGAAGTAGTGTTTATATGTAAAAGTAACTTAACGTTAGCAATGTCTCAACTAATAAAATCATGCTTTCAAAAAATACTGTGATTGGGAGAAAAAAAATGTATTTATAAATATGTATATTAGGGCAGAACAAATAAGACATCACACAACTACACACTGCTGCTAAGATAATGATGAATTTATTTATTAAAGTTGCAGCTTTGTTCAGCTAAGAACTGGATCAGGATTTATGCTGTGTTATAATCTAGTGTTTTAAGTCCCCTATACTTTTTTTTATTACAAAGTGGGGATTTATCAATTGGTAAAAATCGTTTACTTTAGTATTTTATCTAAATGATCTAAAGTAAAAGTAAAGCTCATCATGCAGAATGTCCCTCTTCAGATTGTCATATTGTCAAGATACAATTTACGCCAAATCATATCATATTTTAGGTAATATGTCAACATATGTTTGTATGAAAAATATTCAGAGTAACTGTTAGCTGCCAAATAAATGTAGTGGAGTGAAAATATACAATATATGATATATAGTAAAGTAGCAGCAAATGGAAATAGTCAAGTAAAGTACCCTTAAATGTGCTTAAAAGTGGACAGTGGAAGAAGTAATCATATAATTTACTTATTATACTGTTTTTTTAATCAAATTATAACAAATTATATTTTAGAAGCTGATCACCTTTTGTATAAGAAAATCTGACTAACTATAGCTGTCAAATATGTTATAATGTAGTAAGTACAGCAGTAAGTAAAGGTACTTAGTTAATTTTAGTATCATCCAGGCATCTCCTTAAAATTAATATATATTAAACGTGTGACCAGTGTTGACAGCTCTTTTCATTATTCACTCTGCATGTGCATTCAAGGAATCTAGACTCTTCCTTGTGTTGTAGGCGTGGGTGTCTGTGTCTATTGGCTGCTGCTGGTATCATTTTTTTCAGCACTTTGTTCTCCCCAGTTGTAAAAGGCCAGATCACAAATGCATTTGGGTTATTTACTGTTTGACACTGGATGAGCTAAAACCCAGGGGAAAAAAGTATTGCTTCGCATTTTTGGAAACGGACAAAAGTTAGTATAAGACATTCTTACTTTTCAACTGGTCATAGACATAAGATAAGACATAGGTCTTTTTTTCTTTCTTGTGTAGTATCTTACGGATCATATTTACCTGTGCATGATGTTTTCTGTGCAGCATATCGTAAACTGAATTGCGCTTTTAGAGTCATTTATGTGTTGACGTGTTTACCCGAGAGAGCTCAAAGTGCAAGAATAGGAAGTTTGTGTGCAGATGGCGAGCTGTCACACTCCAGTAAGATGATCATGATAAGAACCACACATTTTACACTTTGTTATTTTTCTTTCATTTTGACGTTACACACTCCGCAGGGGAGGTATATTTGTAATATAAGCATAAATAAAACCTGGCTAACTGGTTAAACGGTAAGTAGTTTTATCTGGGTAGTCTCGACATGCAGAGAGATGTCAAGGTATTTTTTCCCCCTGTAAAATCAAATGCTGGCTCATTAAAAGAAGGGCTTGCAGTGCCGGTGGATTTTTATTGTCTTTGAAAAGGTTAGTAAATATTGTTATAGTTTTGTGTTTTTCATTAGTTTTTATCTTTATTTAGTTGGTTTTCAATTCAGTTTAGTTAGTTTCCAGTGTGGATTTGCTCATTTCAGTTTAGTTTTTATTTAGTTTTTATTCGTTTCAGTGTTAGTTGTATTTACTTGCTCAATTATTATTCGGGAGGTAGTTATCAGGGGCAAGACTGAAGTTCAAAATAGGTATTACAAACAATGACTCACAGTCGTGGAGACGCCTTCTCATGCTTGTTGTGTTGAATCATTTGACCAAACTGACAAAGACTAAAACTAAAGACATTTAGTTGTATATTTTTATTTTAATTTAGTTAGTTTTGTAAATACACAATATTTAATTTCTGTTAGTTTTAGTTTTTTTCAGAAGTATAGTCTTTATTTTTATTTTAGTTTTAGTTAACTATAGTAACCTTGGGCATGGCACAAGTGGTTTAACTTTCAAAGAAAAGACTTGTGTTTCTTTCTTTGTTTGTAGTCAGAGGGTCAGACTTTTTCAACGGCCCGATGCTGGCTCTGTCCAGGTCTTCGACAGCTTTGAGGTGGAGGCTGTCCCTGCGCTGCTCTGCCCTCCCTCTGGGGAGCACTACCATGAGCAGCGAGCCCTCCACCGCAACCTGGCCCCAGTTTCTAAGAACCCAGACTGCTCTGTTTCACCAAAGTAAAGCCAAAGCCAGTCCTGACCCAAACAAGCCCGCTTCAGGCAAGGACATATTTGATTGCCTACACAGTTAGCTGCTCTCCACCGTAACCCAGACTTTAGGTGAATGTGTTATGAAATGTAATAGCAATGTTTAAGAACCTACACCCTTTGACCTGGTCATTGTAAACTCATACACAACCAGTTCAAGAGGGTATTATATGCATATAACCATTAGCCCTGTTTCTCACTGCACTCTATGTCCAAGGAAATGAGATGTTTAGACTTCACTCTGAGCAGCCAAGGACATGATAAGACCCATCGTAGCGCCACGCTATCTGTTTACTGCCTTAGGAATGTGTAACTCTGTTAGAGTGATTTGTATCCAACAGGGATGAAATGATACTGCCTCTTTGACTCGTCACTCTTCCGAGTCTTCACATACGAGAGTGTGTGACGGTTGTGTTGAGTCCATTCATGGATGACTTGAATAAACTACAGAAAGACAAGATCACACTTTGTATGCTTCATTTAAAGAAATAGCTACCACAGAAAGTAGAGAAAATCAATGAGCCCTTTAATAATAATGATTTTATCTTAAAGCACTGCTGATAGATATAAATACATCACACCGGAGCTGAAACAGTAGAAGTATAATTACAGATAATTGTCTAGCAACTACTTTTTGATCATTTCTTTTTATATTAATCTATCTATTGTAGTAATTGTTGGCCAAAAAATAAATCTGAAGACCTTGGGCTCACAAACAAAGGTTCCCACAATGACCCACGCAGCTACTTTCAAAAATAACAGAATTATGGTTATCCTGAGTAGCATCTCAATTCCTTAGTAAGTATTTAAGATATGTAATCTCATGGATGAGGTTTAGATTAGAGTAAGAGGCTAGGCTGGTTTAAAAAAAAAAAAACCCACCACAATGAGTCTGATACAGCCCCACAAACACGAAAACTGCAAGCTGTGTCTTGTTTGTTACGCAGCCTAAGGGAGATTTAAGCTCTCTTTATGTAAGCGGTAGCAATGAAAGAAAAAATGATTTGCAGTGAGAAGTGCAAATATCAACTAATCTGCACATCAAGCAAAGTCAAAGAAAACTGCCAAAACCGTTTTGTCAAAGTAAAGAATGTTCTTTTTGCATAAGGATTGTGTCAGACTTATTTCTCTCCCCATGTTGTTGCCTTTTTTATGCCGCAGTGTTGTCCGGGCTGGAGGGGGAACTGTTTGGGATGGGGATGTGGTCGTTGGGTCTGGGCGCTGTCGGAGCTGCGCTAGCCGGGATCTTCCTGGCCAACACTGATCTGTGTCTGCAGAAAACTGCCAACGCATCGCTGGAGCACCTTGAAGATACCGACCTGCGCTCCACCATTGACAGTAGGCAGGCTTTCTGATTGGCTGTTCAATAATGTCACCCAGCAATAGGCCCATTTGTCTTAACCCCAGCTGTTGTTAAACCCTATTAGGAGGTTTAACATTACATCAGCACAAGAACTGGCTTCTCTTTACTGTTGCATGTTTGTATGCGTTGTACATGCACTGAAATAAGTTTTGTGTAGCTTTTAAGGCAAAGCTGCTTTCTCAAATCTGCTGGTATTACAGATCACTGTAAAGGTCTTTGCCCTGAGCTGAAGGCTGTGTTACTGTGTTATTCTTAAGCATATTCAACATATAGAACTTCTGTGTGACCATGAACATTTTGAAGGCTGCATCTTTTATCCTCCACATTATGGCTTTCTTGAATTCTTGCAGCAGTAAAATCCTTGTGATTTCTTTTCATCAGAGACATTGAAGCCTTGTCTTAAAAAACGCTGCTTCTTGCTTTGTCTGCAGATGACAAGGTCGTCAAAGCAAAGAGCCTGTGGGAGACGAACGGGGCTGTAGTCATGGCCGTACGACGACCTGGATGATTTTTGTGCAGAGAGGTGACGGAGAGGGTGTTACACATGACTCTGCATGCATCTGAAATTTAAACCGTGTGGGAAATAGTTTTCCTGATGGTGTAATCTCTCTCTCTCTCTCTGTCTGTAGGAGGCCTCTGAGCTGTCCTCTCTGAAGCCCCAGCTGGAAGAGCTTGGGGTCCCTCTGGTCGCTGTGGTGAAGGAGAACATCGGCACAGAGATCCAGGACTTCAGACCGCACTTCGCTGGGGACGTCTACATAGACGAACAGGTTAGCAGTGGTAGATAACATCACTCCCTCCAGATCTCACCCGCATTTTTGATGTTCTATCACTATTTCTCTCCAGATCTCTGGATTAGGTTGTTCCTATGTAGTTTGTTTGAGCTTGTAAATATTTAAATAGTTAATTTGATCTTCTCCCTCTCTTTTTAGATTCTTTTTAACACTTTCACGTCAAATATACAATGTCCCTGTAGTGAGTTGGTCGTTATTTGGCTAAATAATGTGTGTATAATGTTAATTTTCTATTCAATTGGTAAAATAAATCTATTGTATTACAAAAAATCACGTGAAATTGAATTTGTGATTGTAGAAACGCTTCTACGGCCCGCTGCAGAGGAAGATGGGGGGCCTGGGGTTCATCCGCCTCGGAGTGTGGCAGAACTTCTTGCGGGCCTGGAGGTCCGGTTACCAGGGCAACATGAACGGCGAGGGTTTCATCCTGGGGGGAGTGTTTGTCATCGGACCGGGAGACCAGGTAGCAAGGCAAACTTTCTGACTTTGTAAAAGCTTTTTACAAAACATCTGTCTGTATTTTAACCACACGTTGTGTTTGCAGGGGATTCTCCTGGAACACCGTGAGAAGGAGTTTGGCGATAAGGTGGAGATTGCAGATGTTTTAGAGGCCGTTAAGAAAATTGTACCAGTGAAATAAGTTTGTTTTTTTGTCCTAACATCAATGGCAAAAGGTAAAGGCATTTAGATCAAAACTAAAATTAAGAAAATATAACTTGACACTGGAGTCAAAGTCCATCCATCACTGAAATACTTATATTGTAATGACACTTGAGTCTGTTTGCGTTGTATAATAACAATGTTGCACATTAATTTACTGTTGGTTTACGAAATTCTTGATGTGAAATACAGGATTTATGAATGACTACTCCTCTTTACCTCTAAAGAAATTCAGAAGCTTTTTTGTGTTTAGACGGGTATTAAAAATAGGTAGAAAGGGACTTTTTATTCAGGTACGTCAACCATTAATTTTAAGATCACTTGAATTCTTTCCTTTAGAGAGGAACATAATTTAATCTGCTGGATTACACATTTTATTAATTATTACTCTGTCAGTGGTACGTTTTTAGTAACGTTATCTCTGTCTGCTTCTCCTGGTCAGGCACCTAAACGGGCCTCCAACGTGGCAGACGAGTGTGTGTGTGAGGTCTGTGTGTGTGTGATAATGACAACTTGACTCTAAACTCAACACTGAGGGGAGCAGGTTTGATGCTCAAACACACAACAGATTCAGCCGCTGTTGCCATGTTGAGGAGCGTTTTTGGTGCAAAAAAGGTTTTGTTTGTTTGGGTGTGTGTGTGTGTGTGTGTGTGTGTGTGTGTGTGTGTGTGTGTGTGTGTGTGTGTGTGTGTGGTGTGTGTGTGTGTGTGAGAGAGAGAGATTGTGTGTACATGTGAATACTAGCTGCAGGAAATAAGAAATAAACAAAACCTCATCACCATATCTGCACTGTGCTGTGTGTTATTTTAAGATTTCCCCTGTAGGGGCAACACTTGACACAATTTAGTGTTGGTAGTAGATTCTCAGCAAACACAGCAAAATAACAACTTCTTATGGATGTCATTGTATTTATTCAGACAAAAATACTCAATTCTGATTGGCTGGCTGGTGTGGATTTATTTACAGTAACCGAACTGTATAACCAGACACCTACGATGCAGATATTTGTTCTGAATTTGTATGCTAGTATTTAGGCTCTTATCCTTTTATATCAGATGGTAAGAGTTTGCACTTCCAGATTACTCTGCTCAAAAACTTTCAGACTTCTCATTTGTTAGAGAGATTAGTCTGAGTCTAGTTATTTTTATATATATCTAGAAATACTGCTGTTATAATTTCAATTGCATACCCTCTCCCTTTTGCCTTCAGTTTTATTAACAGCCCAATGGCTTAGTCATCAGGTCCTGTAAACTAGCACTAAATATACAATAAAACAACTAAAATGAGCAAAAACATCAGTTCGTTCTAAACACACATTTTTCTAAATAAAACCATTATTTAATCTGAATTTATTAGAGCTGCAAAACAGAATATCAACATACTGTGATACTGGAAACTGAAGACAAAGTTCTCACTTTCTGTTAAAAGGTGGGGATCGGTCCAAACATATTCAAATTTAAAAATCACTAATCCTGTGAATTATTTTATCCTCTGACATCCAAACCAAGACATCCACTATCAGTAGACTTATTGTAGATGGGTAAACAGTCATGTTTGTTCTTCTAAACTGGGCTATTCACTGGAAACATACAAAGTAACAGTTTATATCAACAGCTTTAGCTGTCATTTCCTGTCTGTACTCTGTTACAGAAATTGTCCCTTGTTAAAGTTATTTTTTTTGCCTTTCCTCGTGAGCAGGAGGACGATATTTAAAAAGGTATTTCTAACATACACTGTTTAATAATATCAAATTAAGCAGCCAGGTTTAGACATTAATGTTACATATTTTATTCTATTGCTCTGAGTAAAATACATTTCACATCAAGGAAATATATTCCAACACAATACAAAACAGAAGGAGAAAACACTGTGTACCAATACTGACAGGACTGCATGTATGTACATGAAACAACCAAAACATTCATGAGTGTAACAATAACAGATTGTCTTTACATTTGTGCCTTTAGTCTGCAAAGATTTTTCATGGCATGCACAACCAAACCTATACATTAGTGAGTTTTCAACCAGTGCACCAACATTCACTGGTGCAATGTGGGGTAAAGTCAAGTTTATTAAGATATTTTATTCAAAATAAATGAAAAATGTGTTGGGATTTATTTAGATGTTCGACCAGTTAATTGTGTGTTAGTGACAATAACTTGTGAGGTTATCGAAAAATTTGGTGCGTTTGAGAACATTTGTAAAAAGAAAAAGAAAACATGTTGTTGCACGAGAGAAGCCTGGAAAAATTTCCATACCATAAAGCTGACAAATGAAAACTTAAAAAAAAAAGCTACACACTTCTTCACCTCAATCCTGTACAATTCATACCCGTCTCATCTTTGGCTAGATCTATGGGTGCGACATGTTACGGTGGTACAGTACAGTCACAAGCTGAGATACACGTTTACAAATGTGTTTAACTGCCGACTAAAACCCTCCAGTTTTGTTCTTGACACTTTTACGCCATAATTCAAAAAGCAGAAAAACACAAGGGGGAAAAAAAAGTAGAAATGTGTCTACTTGGTTATGAGCAATGAAAGCTGCCAGACAATAAATGAATTATTAATTTAGCAGTAACCATAATTCATTCAACATTATCCAGCATTAAATACAATCGTCAAATATAGTTTAAAAAGCGCATTTTAAATACCGACACAAATCCAACTAGCGCCTACAGCAGCACAGCAAAGGTTATATAGTGCAGTTTCACCCTCAGCAGGAAAACACCCCAAACACAACACACAATAACCACCATCAGCACTGATAACAGAACAGAAATGTCTTGTCTGATTGTTGCTCAGTGGATAAAACGTTATAATAGCATAGCATGAAAATATGAATGACAATGGAGAGAGAGACGAAGAGAGTTTCATTCCAAAATTAGATATCCATTTAAAAATAATCCACCTTTTCATACAGTAAGTAAAGGTGTCACATCAAGACACTTTCTTTCAGGATAGGGTCGTATATATATATTTTTTTAAATGTGAATTTCTGGTGGCAACAATCTGGATAGCACCTTGGAATTAAACCCTTACATTTAAGGATCACATATTAACACAATCATTGTGTATTTCTGTCTGTAATTAAGTTGATTCATAAAAATGTAACAGTTGTGCGGTTGCTACAGTCCTTTAACACCCACGATCAGTTTACCTTAAATTAATGGTCATACAACTTCTGAAACATAAATTCAGATGACTGCTGATGCTCGATGGAGATTAATGAAGTACGACCTGTACAATCTTACTGTTGGGTAGTTGTTGTTTTTGCACCAACACACACAAAACATCACTTTACACAAACATCGACTCTGTTCACTGTATCAAGTTAAGTCAGACAAGAGGGACACTCCTCTAATCTGAGAACTCATTAGCCCTAAAGCAAGAGGCGCGCATACTCATTTACAGCACACCTCTGTACTCCTGTAAAACCAGCAGCTGACATTGTTTTTCCATCTGGTGGAATAACCACCAGAGTCACACCTAGAAGTTAATATCTCTAAAATCCTTCATGCATATGTGCTCCATGTATTGTGCATTATATATATATATATATATATATTTATAAATATATCCAATAAAAATATATTCTTAAATAATTCAGGCAGACAACACTGAGATAATTCAGCTGATATTTCCTCACATACACCATCAACTATCACTATCTAACTACACCGGACAGTCGTGTTTGGAGAACGTGGTCAACAACGTGAAAGAATTTGATCAGAGAAGCTGAAACTCAGGTAAAGACGGCAACGGTTACTGTCCCTGACCTAGAAATAAGCATTTAGTATTTCTGACTTTATCACACAACATTAGCTACTTTCATTTGGTACAATGATACATCAGTGGCTCTAGTGCAAACCACAATATTGCAGAAAGCTAGCTAGCTGTTGCACATAACTGGAACTGAAATTAGACAGCTTTGACTTGTCTTTGCTTGCTCAAGCAATCCTTCAGTTCAAGCGTGGACATTAAAAACCAACAAAAACCTCAGTTACAAAGCTTTACAGTGCTGTCCATCTTCTGCATGTCACCGTGTTTAAACACACAGATGGCCAAGGAAGTTCAGTTTAGATTGTTTCGTCTTAGCAACAACATGTAGACACAATGCAATATATTCCTCCACATGACAACCACCAAACAAGCATCACCACCTACAACAATCAAAGAATTCACCAATATGCCACTAATATGCAACTGCACTAGTTCATAAAGTGATCTCAAATAATAAAAGGCCTTGAACAACAGGTGGCCACTGTCATGGCAAGAGTACATATTTATGTTGATAAAAATCACACTGATAGTGTTCAATGATGCCCTCTATATCTGTGCTTTGTGAACTTTTGCAGTATAATTTCTACATATTTTCTTTGCCACATGTACCTCAATACCTGGTCTATGACTTTGAAGGGCATAAGTACACTTGAAGGAGAGTTGAAGAGAGTAAGAAGCTGCACCTGTTAACAGGGAGTACAACAAAAAACGTTATTCATCAAGGGTCGGACAATTTAGAACTAATTAACACGCTGGTTTTTCCGGTATGAGTACGTGGTGGAACTATGGGGTGGAAATTAATTGGTGGCAAGAATATTCACATGCTATAGTCAGTGTGTAATAGCTTTTACATATTACAGAATAACGATGAATAGGCAAGAACTGGAAAGAGGAAATCAAAGTGAGGGAAGACACAAGGCAAAAAAGGAAGTTTACATTCAGAAGCAAATACATACACGGCGTACAAACACAAGCCTTAATTTTAAACTGAAGTTACAAATCATGTGTTAGAGGATTTAGCATGAACCTGAATGCAACACGAAATATTGGTGAGTAAAACACAAATCAGTAACTTCATGAACTGCCACCCAATAGGCAGTTTTAACCAAAGGAAGACAGAAAACACAGCACAAAACAAAATCAGGAGTCAGAGTTTTTTTTCTTTTCTAAGGAGTGTCATCTATGTGCAGAGAGAACTGTCAGTGATCTTCCTTCTCAAAGTGTTTTCCCTTCAGTGAATCTTCTACTCTTACACCTGGAGTGCAGTCCTCCCACACAGTCAAATTAATAAAAATGCAGCAGTACAGATAATAAAAAAAATATGCATAAATACATTTTGTTTTACCCTTCCACTTGTACCAGAGGACAACAGACATGTGTATAAATGTGTATGTTTTCTGTATGTCTTGTGCATGTGTGTGTAGAGATGTGTTGGCTGGTCCTACAGGCCTTTGTTGAAGTAGACAGTGGTGGTGTTGGGACTGGTCTTTCGTATCGTCTCCTGCAGCTCTGCTTCCAGCCCACTCACGCTCATAGAGCTACAAAGAGATGGTTGAACATGATTTAAAAAAAATAAATGCTGCTACATGTTAGATAACACTTCACGTACAAGTATAACCTCCCCTCTCCAAGATGAGTGAT